GGCTTAGATATGTCGAAACAATTCCAAATTTCTTAGTTATGTCGAAAAAGTTTATGATCTTGCACAACATTATATCTAACGTTTCTGAAAAAATGAATATATGTCAAGTATTTTAAAATGACACTTACCTAGCAGCTTGCTGAGACCAGCGCCGATTCATTGTTGCACTTGTACACAAATACTTGTAATACTAACAGCAACACACAATAAAATGGCGGGTTCAAAGCATAATTAGGAAGGGGAAGGTTGTCTGAAGTAACCTCTAGCAGGATTAGTAGAAATATGCTGTTGCAGCGGTAATGCAAGAATTTGAATTTGATGGTGGCAATTGCCACCGCCAGGGCCGAAAGGGTTAAAGCTAGATCTATTAGGTCGGTCCATAAGTCTTGCAACAAACTACATTTAATGCTATAGAATTTTAGGGAGAACTCCTGAAAATTGGATCGAAGATCGAACTTGGAGGACGGTGGGCTTTTGCTGACAGAACTATCAAATCTTCCACCCACTGTAAAGCTCTTCCCTTCCCCTCCTTCCCCCTTCCCACCCCACTCTCTCCCCTGACCTAGTTGATCGGCTTGGCTCGAGATCGCTTTTCCACGCCACTCCAGGTGACTCAGCTTGTCCTTACCAATAAGATCCTTACAAAGAATGTCCCTCAGGTCGCCATTACCATTCAATATGGGATCTATACCCCCATGAATGCAAATATTCAACACTGATTACAATTCAATATTAGCTAGGGTCCCCTACAAATGCTTTCAAATCCACACAGTTGTAAGATGAGAGCGCCAAAGGATAGCCAATGCTCACAGTAGCCTTTTCCTCGTTCCAGGGACATTTGAGATCATATTACCGAAATAACGTTGCCGAATCGGTTGAAGATCCATGCCACTCATTTTACTATGAGTTCAGCTTCTGCAAATGAAAAACATAGTTCAGATTGAACCGAGAAATACAACAAGTCTGGCGTTATCTTTGAATTCAATTTCGCTGGAGGATTTTGAGCCATTGAAGGTCTATCAGTTCATTCCTGTGAAGAACTCTGAGCCTCACACTCTTCACGTCGTTGATCTGACCAGATAAGCTAGCTTCATTTCGATGTATCCCTCTGTCATTTATTTGAAAGGGGGCTAAACTAAGGGTATTTAGAGTTATGATTACCTAAAATTATTCCTAGGTGCCTTAAAGGCAAACTCCGGAATTAAACTGGTGCTAAGAGCGCTTCGCAGTGATAGCTTAGCTGCGGAGCGACCTGAAAGTGGAGAGGAAAGCAAGAGAACTCTTTGGGAACGCTGAAATTAAGGCCTTAACCTTCAATAAGGTCGGATGTGGTACGATGGCGAGACAGGGCGATCAAGAGAGGTCAAAACACGCGAGAGAGAACGTCGTTTGAGAGAGCACGCTGATCTCTACATCAATGCACGCTGATCTCACCACATCTCGCGGTGGGTGGGAAGCGTTCGATGGTTGGAGGCCCGTAAGGATTAGCGCCCTAACCGCGCGATTTTCGCGACCAAGTTGAAGTGATCTAGGTAGGTACGGGTCTTACAATTTCCCTCGCGGTATCCTTCCTACTAAGTGCCGGCGTGTTAATCCGGGTTTTGCCTTACAAATGCCAATTCGTGGACATCATCACATTTTTGTCATTTGTCAGAAAAAAAATAGGGGGTCTCTCAACACCATGATCAACCATGGCGCGATCAGTTCGCAACGGCATCGTTGAGTGATTAGTGGGATTACAAAGTCCGGTGAGTGACCGCAACCGTAACACGTGACTGGTTGGCGCGCAACGTCACGTGTCATCGATTAGAATTCGACGTGCCCTTTTGTCGTTTTTCCGCGCACTCTACGGCGACAGAATGGGCGTGATAGAACCTGGCTCTTGTACGGAGCGTCCATGCTGGTATATAGGAGGACTATGGCAGTTGGTCGAATGTGCCGGCAAGTGGTTTAGCCGGCACCCCGGGGCTAACCTCCCTTGCCCCGTGCGCGCGAGCCGCTTGCCTCGCCGCGCAAGCGGCGAGGCGAGTGCTGCGTGTATTTTTGGATAGTCGCCCAAGGGCGGCTGTGGTGGAGGGGGTATTGTGCACTCACCAGCGAGGCGCTATACCCTCTCACGTTGGTGCTGAAACGTGTGGGTACACATCAGTAGTGTAGCTGCGCGCTCCAGTGCCAACGTGGATTACGGTAGCGGTCACTCACCGGACTGTTAAATCCGGCTGTCGTTGAGAGATCCTCAACGCACGCTGTATGGGCGGAGACGCAGACGGCTCGAGCATGCGAGTGTGAATGTTCGCGCGAGAGAACGTGTCTAATCGGGCGAAACTGCGCAACGTGGCCGTTGAAAACTGCGCAACGCAGGGTTGACTCTGCTCACCTTTTTCAGGTAGGTCACAGTGAGGGTGACCTATGAGGAAGTCTGAAACACATTATTGTTTTTGCAATTTTTTCCTTCGATTCCTTTTCTCAACACCTTTCTTTTTACCGCTCACGTGGGTCAAGTATTCACTGCTGCGATTGGAGTCGGATTTGCGATACATTCCTTCACCACATGGAAAGGAGGAAGGTTCACTATTCACTTTGAGCGACCTGAACCATGTTAGAAATCTTTCTCAACCTTCTTTTTTAGCTCATTTTTTAGCACTCAAGTTGAGCTTTAGCTTTCGACCATCCTCAGGCTGATTAGTCTCCTGATGGCGAACTGATGGGATTTTCAGATATAAAGGTTGTGCCCGTATCCCTCCTCACGCTTCAACGTGGTCTGTTCGTACTAGTACCACTTGTAGAACGCATCGGCACGCCGTAGTAAGCTAGATTGGCGATGCGATAAATGCTTTCGCATTACTTATCAGACACATCACAAAGGTTCCAATACATGAGGTGATATACAAATTAAGACGCTATCGCAACATACGGGGGCATTGTGATGACAGTGCTTTTAAAACTGCGTAAAACATCTTCTTTTGTTGAAAACCAAGCTCATTCAGGTGTGGAGTGATTTCAAGGTGGGTAAATCATTTTCATCTTCCCCAATAGCTCCTGCCTCGTCCAGGCTTAGTCCTAGTGGATGCTCCCCATATTGCGATAGCGCCCAAATTAAATGATGAACATTCTTATCGTGACTTTGCAGGATGTCCTTTCCGTGTTGTTCCATCGGAGAGCGGTCGGAAAATCGTCCTGAAGTTCAATAAAATATTGAAGCCAACTTATTCATGAATGATGGGCGGAACAACTCAAGGTAGGCATGCGATAGTCTTCCTATACTTTTCTTCAGGATATGAAGTAAAGTAAGTGAAAGGGCAGATTGTCATCGTCAGAGCTGTGAGCTCAGAACAGCAGAAACAGGCCGCGTCAATTGCTTATGCCATCCTAAAGTTTCTTCGGAATTTCTCATGTCTCTAACGCTATTCAGCTACGGTGTGCATGTAATACAAATGAGGAAATCCTCCACTTATGCAATGCACACAAATGGTGGAGCATTTATAACTAATTAGTTCGGAATATTAGCCCTAATACTGGACGGTAGCAGCATGAAAACGTCGAGGAGTGTATCCAGGCAAAACTGGGGAAATTGAAGTGCTCAAGGAGCTCTTAAATTCTCATTTTCCCGCTTCGAATCCGTGGTCAACTTTATTTGTGATCTCGGCTCCCGCGAAGCTCGAAGCGTTCACGCTCACAAAGTCTCTGTTCAGAGAGAATATGAGTTGCACTCACAATCCGCGTAGTACCCATCGCCGAACTTTGTCGGATTCTCTCTGGAAAAATTTTCGTACCGAGCGGAAAATGACCGGTGCTGAGATTCGAAAATATGAGTGAGTATTGCTGACCCACAAGTTTGGGCATTCCACTATGGTCGCCTTTCCATTCGACATTCGTTCGACTTTCTCTGTTGGTCAAGGATGATCGCTATTTTCGACTACCGGTTTTTCGGGTAAATCACTGCCATGCCAGATTTCCCAGTACTATATCGCAACATACTTGAACTCTAATCGCAATAAAATTATTGTGGCCGCAGCCTTTAAGTCTCAAACTCCCCAGAAGTAGACGTGTATAACCCTCCACTCCCTCCATGGGCCGTCGTCCTATCGTTCCCAAAGAACGCGAAAAGAACTGATCCCTTCAAGATTAATGTTTTTCAATGACACAGTTTGACAGGGTACATGCTCATTTTACACACACACGCATTCATTTGAACTAAGCTTTTTATGGTTATTCTGGTCAGAGAAACGAAATCAACTCGAAGGTATTTTTCTTCCATTGGCCGGGGGGGGGGAGGGAGGGGGAGGGGGAGAATAGGATACGGTCCTATGTTTGAGCTAGAAACTGTCACATATCTCAACAGGAGACAACGTGGATTCAAAAGCAACACAATGGAACACAATGGCTTTACGTGATGTAAGGAAGCGCATTGAAATCGCATTTGTTAAGGCCGGTACAACAGGAATTTACCAAGATGCATGCAACTACAGCAGTGGCAGGAAGTGCAGATTTGATGATGGCGTATCCTCATCGTGGAGATGTTCCGAGCTACAACATCACCTACAAAGAGCTTCTGGAAGACCGTAAGTGAACTCAACAACGAGGCTAAATTATGTCGAACTATAAATACTATTACCTATTTACAACAAGCATATTCACAAATATATCGTCCTTGAAGTACAAACATTGAACAACACAGTGAGGGTGACATCTACTCCTTATCAGCTGCAGTCATCGCTTGAGTCATCCCACTCTTCTCTCAGAGCGGCCCTTGGAATATAAGATAAATTGTGAAGGGAAGTGAAGGCTTTTACCCGAGCGATTAGAACAGGCGATGAAATTCATGGCTGTGAGAAACATGGCCTTCCCACCTTGCTTTTGAAGGGAAGGTGCACGACAAGTCACGGCGCTGCATTGGCGACACCAGTGTTACTTTATCCTTGGGTAACTGGCTTGAGCCTGCATGAAAACTTACGGGAAGGTTCCAAAGTGGAATTAGACGCGCGCCTTGGCGTCGTTGAGGAAGCTTTACAGACGTTTCGGCATCGACAAATACGTGGAGAGGGCAAGTGTAAAGCACACACTACGACCCCCTCCGTTGGTGTAGGATTGACGCTGCCTCCGACCTTGCGAATACGACCCCCTTTTCGTCGGCCGAATACGACCCCCCTCGTTGGACTTTGTCCAACGGACGGTTGACCCTGCTCTGAAGCCTTGGCGTGTCCCCTGCCGGTGCCGCCGGTCAATCACGGCATACGTGCCCTCTCGCGTACGACGTACTATCTCGCGTTTTCCCTCTCCTCGCAGCGCTGTGTCTCTCCGTCATACCACGGCCGGCCTCCTAAGGGAAATTTAGTGTTTTCTATGGTGCTTTTTGCTTTTTCTCCCCACTCATGTTCCTCATCGCAACTCTTCTCTAATTTCATTGGTAAAACACACCTTCAAAGTCGTGACCCGTGCCTTTAAGTCTTTAGGTAGTTGTACTTTGTTAGTAAATCTAACAGATATTTACTCCCAAATATACTAAGGTTTTTTCCAAGTAGCAAATTAGTCGTAATCTGTGATTTTCAAATATTTCAGCCTGCTACTGCAACAGCACAGACGTTGTTGTCGGTGAGAAGCCTGTATACGTGACCTCGCCGGGGTTCCCAGATTTATACTGCCCCAACTTCCGTTGCAAAAGACGATTTCTCCATTCCACACGTGAAGACTTTCATTATAATTTTGTCGTAACAGTACATTTCCTCAGCACGGAAAATGCTGACTTCCTTGAATTCTCCTCGGGAGGACTCACAGTAGAAAGGTGAGTTGCATTATTTTTTTATTTGTACCTCTTTTTTCCTTCCTTTTTTGCTTCCTACTCGGACGTACATAGGAGGAATTTGAGGTGAAGGGGTGACATTCAGACTAAGTGGGACTCATGAAAACGTGCGATTGATTATCACTGACGACATCTTGGAAACGGAATTTGTCACCGACGCAGAGATAGCACTACATGGATACAACATGACCATTCAATCCATCGGTATTCCGACAGGTGCTCAGTTCTACTGTAAACTCACTTCGATAGCTTAGAAATAAACTTGAAAATAAAGAAAATATAGTAAGTGTGAATAATATAAACTTAAAGGCAAGATTCAGGATTGAATTATGAGTTAATTCCACTCAAATGTGAAAGTAGGGGTAGGTAGTGGACCGCCAGTGCAGAAAAGAGAAAAAAAATCGTGAAATGCACAGGAAATACGAGCCTTTTGCTCTACGCTGCGGAGAAGTTCAAAAGGCCGGCAGGGAGATGAGAGATAATGTGAGCGCGGAGAGCGCTAGAGAAGTCCGAGTAGAGAGAGCATAGCAGATCAACATTGCGACGCAGACAAGATATCGAGCGGTGGGCGGAGCGTGTCGCAACAGGTGGAGCGTGT